GAATCGTGCAGAAGCCTCACGAGAAGCATGTGCCCTGCATTTAGGCGAATGTCCTCCATTCAGTCAGCACAAGCTGAAGACCTTCTACCCGGCATCCTGTGCTTCCTCCTCTGGACAGCAGGAGGGACCAAGGGGGGCCCAACACTTCTCCACGACAGAAGAAAGGCAGAACTAGCCACGAGGAGGGCTAACCTGCCTGCCAAAAGCTGCTATTGAGGTATCCTGTCCTCATTCATTTTAAATCACATATAACCTTTCCCAATTGATGTAGGTATAACTATTTCTTCAACGAAAAACCAAACAAAAACTTTGGACATCCTGTAGAAGTTGCTCCAGAGTTCAAAGCACAGAACTAAAGCACTGAAATAGATAAAAAGCAGCAGAAATCTGTTAAAACAAAACCATACCAAAAAATGGGAAGCTATTACAGATGGTTCTCTCCAAGAATAAATGTTGATGAATGTGCTCCCATCCTGCATGAAAGATCAGTAAGGTCCCCAAATCAAGACAAGGAGGAACATGTCAGCATCTGGGCTGAAAGCAGTTTCTAGATCAGGCAGGCAAAAGAAAGCCGAGGGCTGGGCAGAGGCTCAGCCAGGGGGGTTGGGGGACACATACAGAGAGGAGTGGAAAGAAGGGCCATGAGAATCTTTCTGGGAACTTGAACTGGCAGAAGAAAAGTAATTAGGCTGAGGCTGGCTCTGAAGAATCACGAAGAAGGTAAGCAAATGGCATCTGGGCCATGGCTGGATAATGGCTGGGACTGTCCCCAAAGGGCACTCAGAAATGCCAGAAAGAGATTCTCTGACAATGGCTGCCTTTTAACAAGATAGACATGGATTCCCTTGACATTTTTATCCCATCTGGACCAGACCTGTTGTAAGTAACTAACCTGGGCTAAGAGCAAGGGGAAGTCCTGGGTTAAAGCAGGATGGGGGTGAAGTTTCTTTAATTCTTTTTCCTTTCTTTTTTTATTGCATCTATTGGGGTGACACTGGTTAAGAAAATTATATAGGTTTCAGGTGCACAATTCCACAACACACCATCTATACACTGTATTGTGTGTTCACCACCCCAAGTCAAGTCTCCTTCCATCACCATCTTTAGTTCCTTAGAATGAAATACTCCAAGTCTGAATATAAAATCAGAAGAACACCAGAAATAGTTTATGAATCTGGTTTCCTTCTCATATACTAAATATACTTGAGGGGAAAAATTAAATAATTAACCTATCCAAATTCTTTCTCATGAGCAGACAAATATTTACAATGACTAGATTTTTTTGAGCAGGGTGCTCAAACAGTAAGAAGATGGCGTGTTAAACATAATAACTGCCCAATAAATTTAATTTAAAACAACAAAACAACGACTGGACAGAGTAAGTGCTCTCTGGGTTTAAAAGTGCTCGGAAGACGAATCGAAGGATTAAAGGACTGATTCACAACAGAGGGAGAAAAGCCCATTACAGGATATTTCCTCATCATATCACTTGCCTGATAATAAAAGTAAAATAGTAAATCAGACCATTATTGACTCAATAACTCTTTTTTATTCCTATCATGGCTTATTCCTATACTCTAAATGAGGCTTTAAAAGGTTCCCAGCTATTTCTAATCACGGTCACACCAAAACCTTCTTGTATGGAGTAATTCAATAAATTTACACCCTTGTAACAGTGCTTCCCAGCTATGTATGCTGCATTCGCCTCTGTGGTACAAAAAGTCCCCAGTGCAAGGCTCCCATCTGCTGTCTCGTTCATAAGGTCCCATTCTGTGTCCAGTGGCACCTCGGTTTTCCAACGTCTCCGTCGGTGAACATTTCGTGTTACGAGCGCCATAAACCCGGAGGGAAATGCTTCGGTTTTCGAACTCGCCTCGGAAGTCGAACAGGCCACACGGCTTCCGCTGAGGGCAAGATCCTGAGGCCCAGCTGTGGGCTGTGATCCCTCGGTTTTGGGACATTTCAGGACTTGAACGGTCTCCGGATTGGATCACATTAGAAAACCCAGGTACCACTGTATATGGATGCCAGACAGACCTCACTGCATGCTCGGAACAGAATAATGCACATTCCTTTGCACACAAGGACGGCATAACCAGCTCTTTATCGTAGAGTAAAACTCTGAATTATATCCCCACTAATGGTGAACGACGCCTGTACACATCTACCCACAGTTCCCCACCCGGCACCCTGCCCACCAAGTTTCTGACTCCCTCCTACGGGCTGTGTAAGATCGCTTCCTGGCTCTGGGGTACATCTCAGGACCATGGACAAAAATAAAGCTAAATGTCTAACCAGGGGACAAAACATACGAGCCCTGAGGCCCATTAACACTGTATTTTATCCAACTCATCTGGCCACACACACACACACCACAAACTGGAAAATGCCAGTTGTCCTTTGAGGAACACTCCCAACCAGTGGACCAGGAGACTCGCTACAGGTTCAACAACCCTTTGGACTGGGAAACAAGCTATTGAGCAGTGTCATCAAAATTTTTGCTCTCGTAGCCTCTAAGAAAATTTTAGGATTCTGGTTATCACGCATTTTAAATTAACATTTAAATTTTTAATTATAATTTTAATTAATTACAAAGGCTATAATTCTGGCATATTGAAATTATTAAAAATTTTAATTAAACCATATCACTTATTTAAATGTTTGTAATGAAATCTAAATACACACCCATTTGAAAACCACCTTCATCCATCAAAAAATACATGAACAAACCCTCTTTTAACAGTAAAAAGGCTGCCTTGTTCTTTTTTCTCCTTGAATTCCTATTTCCAATCCCCTTCCCCACAGAATTTTCTCTCAATATTATGTTTTAATGCTTGAGAGGCTTTCATTTATCTTTTCATTATATTTTTCTATAACAAAAATGTATACAACTGATTTTTTAAAAATCTCCTGTGGCCATAAAGCTAAAAGTGTTCCATTTTCTTCTGGTTTCCGCTATCATTACTAGCATGCACAACCAATACAAAAATATCAATAATTACTTCTAAGAATGTTAATGTAGTTAACATGGAAAGGACAATTTTATTAGAAATACATTTCTAAAGAAATGGATACAGGCCCTGGCGGTAGCTCAGTTGGCTGGAGCATCATCCTGATACGCCAAGGTTTTGGGTTCAACCCCCAGCCAGGGCACAAACAAGAATCAACCAATGGAGGCGTAAGTAAGTGGAGCAACAAATCAGTGTTTCTCTCTCTCTCTTCCCCTTCCTCTCTCTCTCTAAAATCAATACGTAAGAATTTAAAAAAATAAATTGATGGAACTAGTTTATTGCCCTCAATTAGTTCATATAGCTATAAGGATGAGTGTTCCTTATAGCTATAATAAAGTGGGGCTTACCATCAATTTCATACCTTTTTCCCCCCACTTTTATATATGTATAAGCAGTAAGAAATCTTGTTTACATAAATAAGAACTGAATGGAGACTTATCCAAAAATGTTTTTACCTAATATCTTACAACCAGATTAAGTCCTTCAATTTTGCTGAAGGCCAAGAAGTAAAAATTAACCTACAAAAAGATGTGTGATCATCTTTTTCCATCCCCTTAACCAACACAGACACTAATATTTTCATAGCCCTTTGTTAGTGGGAAGAGAGTTTTGTCCCCCAGGACAACACGCCGAGGATTCAGGGTGGGATGGGTAACAGCTGTGCCTCTCCTTTGTAAAGCAGGGGAAGGGCGACTTAAGAGGTGAGACGGAAAAGATGCGGCAAAATCAATCTGGAAGCCAATCAGTTTTAAGAAAGGGCGCCTACAGAAGTTGGGGACCAGGAAGTAATCTCCCTAAACTACCCATGCTTTGTGTCTCTTGGAGTCTTCACATTCTCCCGTGAGCACCAACACCCCAGCTGGCATTCCCCTCCTCCAGGCAAGAATGTTGCTGCCAGATGCCTGTCCGTTTGCAAGCATTATGCACACAGAACTACACTTGGTTTGATTAACACATGAATTCCCTTACAATAGATCAGCCTGTAGCGGAGCTGCACGAGAAGTAATAATTTTTAAAAAAAGACAGAAACATAATTATTGTTCAATCTACTTGAAAAAATAGAAAATACCTAATAAATCATAGTGTCCTGAGAGTACAGAAACTATACTCAACAAAATACTGTAAATTCAGTATTTTTAATAATTGCAAAGAAAGCCTGGAAACAATCCAAATGTCCAATAAAAAGAAAGCTACTTCCCAATTATGTTACAGCAGACATATAATGGAAGAATGCACGATATTTTAATTCAAAGAACATATACTGACATTAGAAAGTGTTCTTCATATGATGTTGACTAAAAAAAAAAACAAGCAGGAAACAAACTTGTAAATAAAATTTCACAATTATTTGTAAAGATATGTGTGTGTGTGGGGGGGAAAGCCTGTTTAAAAATTTATTTAACTGCTCAGTGGTTGTCCTCAGGTGGTGTAACTATGGACTACTTTCTTATTTGTTCTTTCCAAATTTTCCACAAAGGGCATGTATTTCTCATGATCATGGGGAATAAAAAAATGAGGGCAATGAGGAAGATATGGAAATAGGCTCACTGTCTCAGGGCTGCTGCCGGTGGCTGCAGAGTTCGTGAGATCGGTCCAGCCAAGGAGCCAGTGAGAGCTTGAATCCATCCCGCAGTGTAGGGCTGCATCTCCCCAGGGGGGCACCATTTCCTAATTCACTGTAGAAGATACTGTCCATTGTCCACACCCTCGCTCAGGTTGTAGTCATTTCTGTCCTTGACTATTACCTTTTCATCCCTGACTTCCACAGCTGGTTTCTCTGGCTCAACGCTTCCCTTACTCCACAGACAAGTGGAAATCAGTGCAATCAGGTTCCTATCATGCCAACCTCATGAAAGAGCCCCGTCCATGCATGCAAAATAGCCATCAGTCAGCGAGTGTCGTGCTATCAATAAATGAGGTTCTCTGGGCTTTCAGGAAAACATAGTGCGCAATTTTTCTCCCACTGTTACACAACTCCAGTCTCCTTACCTCAGCAAGTGTGGCGGGATCTTGACAATGGTATCCACACCACCCAGGGTTTCTGCAAAAGGAAATTACAAAGCTAAAAATAAATATGTACAAAGTTAGAATCTGCATTGTACGTAATTTCACTGTTAATTTCTTTTTCCCCCAGAAATCTCTATTATTATAAAGTAGTCAATTCTCTGATTACAAATCTTTCATACTTAAAAATACTTCTCCCCTGATAGCCCCAGAGATGTCTCCAGGGAAGGTTAAAAATTAGGACATATTTCCCTATAGAGGCACAGAATGAATAATGAATGGTTAAACTCCTAACCTGAATCAGACTGCCAATTTAATCTAACTACAACTGACTAAAATACTGTATTCTTGCAATAAAAACAGAGAAAGAAAAGTTGTTTCCTTGAAACTATGGCTTTAATACCCTTAAATAATGGCCTATATGGGAGAGACTTACAAGTTCATGAAGCATTTTATGTAACATCTCATTATTCCTGCACACATTTATGACACAGTATATTGAAACTTTTTTTAATCACACTATAATTAGAAATACTGATTGGGAGGCTCACCCCAAATCTCACTAATTCAATGTCGATATTCAATCCTTTATTTACCATTGTTGTGGATACTCACACTAATGCTACCTCCAATTGTAGAGGTAATGAAAAGGTCACTATTCTTTTCTAAGAAAAAACAAAAAACTGTTCTATTTCAAAAGCTCCAACTTGTCTCCAGTTTTTCAGCTCAAATTGTGCCGACTCCTCTCTTCACCGCTTAGAGTTAACAAGCCCTGTCAATCTGAGCCATTTTCACTGGGGAAGCAGAAACATCTCTCCCAACCCTGCTAAGAGAGCAGAGGGTGCAATGGACACCAAATGTATGCCTGGGACTCAGGCGTAAGAACAGGCCAAAACATGATGATAGGATCTGGGCCTGTTGTGGCCAATGGGCTGAAACATAGGTATAAGCAAGGCAATCCACAAAACAGAAAGATGGAATCGGCAGGATCATTTGTGCTGTGGCCACAGGGCCAAGGGAAGCAGTGAAAGGACTGAGCTCAGTCCTTAAGACAAGACAGAGAAATCCTTAGCAAGAAAAGGCAGAGGGCAGCTCAAAGGCCACACAGGTCAGCACGGCCCTGCAGTCAGCTCTCAGGGCCAGCGACCAGGACAACTTGATACTGCTCCCCATGGGGATGTACTGACACTGAACAACCAAATTGCCATGATTTTTCCCAGCAGAGAGAAGGGGTTTCTATTTAATTCAGGATGTGCAGCAGAGCCCAGTTCTACAAATGCCAGAAAAGCTAGAAGGGGAAAGAGAAAGGGAAGTGACATCAAGTGGAGACGGGAGTAGGTAGTGGCACTGGGCTTTGGAGGGCAGAGCACAGGTGTGGGCTGGGGATATACACGTGGGCATCACATTCGCAGAAAGTGAACTGCGCTGTGCGTATGGGTGTGTTCACTCCAGCAGGGCTGCGAGTGAGAGAAGGGACTCAGGGCAAACGCCTGCAAAACTCAAACACAGGCTGGGAAGGGGAGCTGGAGCTGGCAAGACAGGGCAGCTCGAGGTGCGATAGGACTGGCAGGGCGAGGCCCTGGAGGCCACGATAAAGCGGGTGCCCGGCATGCTCAGTGTGGCCAAGAGGACCTGCAGGGCGGGTGGAGGACCGTCTGCTAGGCGGGGGTCTGGGCACGTTATTCCTCACCCAGAGCCAGTAGGACGAGGGAGGAGGCGGTCAGGTCGGAGTGAGCTGCAGAGTGAGTGGAGCCGTGGACAGGCTCACTACAGACACTCTTTTAGAAGTTTGGCTGTGAAGGGAACAGAAACTGTGGCTGGAAGGAAAGGTGGGTAGGAAGACAGAGGGAAGGATGGGTGTGGATAAACTATCCCTCTTCCGCTACTTGGTGTCCCAGTCTTGAACTTTCTTTCTCCTTTCCTCCCTTTTCCAAATCCATTCCATATGAGTCCCTGATAAAAGTAAAAAAAAAAAAATTCTAGAATGAGGGCCTGGTCCCTTCCAGTTTAATGCTGTGCCATTCCATTTCACCCTGCCATTCCCAGCTCACAGTCCTCCAGGACTGCTCGTTCTTGAAAGAGAATGCTAGTCTTTCAGGCTCTCCACAAGCTGACGACTCCTTTACTCTTTTCTATTCCCTGGTCAGACCTTTTCCTCAATGACAAAAAAAATCTAACAAACTAGATAGCTCAAAATAGAGGACAGACACATATATATTCTTTGACAGTTATTATGCCACTATTATGCTCCAAAATGTGGTGTTATCTCTGGCTTGTGAGATTACAAGGCTATTGTAATTTTTCCTTTATACTGTTTGAATATTTTTCAGTAATCTAAAATTAACATATATAACTCTTATAAATACAAAAATGATGAATATCACTTAAAACTCAAGTCATTAACATGCTGATTTATTTATTGAACATCTGCCTCCCATATTGTAGGGGCAGAAGCCACAAAGAAGCATAAGCACCAGTCTGTATGCTAGAAAAGCTCACATCTACACTTCTACCATTTGTTGTTTTGGTTGACTAGCATCCACGCCCTGCCTTCTGAAACAGCAACCTAATTTTGTTTTGAGAAAACCATCCTTTGCTGACTCTGGGATTTCACTGGGTCTTGTAGCCTAGGCCAAAGCCAGTTAGCCCATTCCATTTCTTAGCTATAGGACTGGTTCAAGGATACACACATGACCCAGTCGCACCAAGAAAGAACAGTGAAACCAAGGACTGAACAGAAGCGACTGGAGGAGTTCCACTCTCTTGAGATGATCCCATGATGGGTTTAGTGAGAAATGACCCCTTTCTCCCGTGATGGCCTAGGTGTAAAAATGACCCCTCTCTCCTATGACTGTTTTAGTGGGAAATGACTCCTCTCTCTTATGATGGTCTAAATGTCATGATGACCCCTCTCCCTTATAATGGTCCAAGTGGGAGATGACCCCTTTCTCTTGAGATGGACTAAGTGTAGAGATGACCCCTCCCTCCCATGATGGTCTAAGTGGGAAATGATCCCTCTCTCCTAAGATGGTCTACATGTGCTGATGCCCCTTTTTCATGAGATGGTCTAAAGGATCATTCATGAGCCCAGAGCTGTGGAGAATCATGCAGAACATGTTAGTTACCTCAAAAAGAACAGAGCAAGGTCTTTGAAACAGTGTTTAATTCCTGAACCAAACTCAGCCAGCAGCCTTCCAAGGGATATTTAAGTGAATACATTTTGTTTTAAGTCAGTTAGAATTAGTTGTTTTGGTTTCTTGAACCCAAACGTATTTCTCAATCACCCGGCCCCTAGAAGGGTGCCTGGGCACACAGTCAACTATAATCCAAAGGAGCAGGTGCTCCAGAAAATCATGAGGGCAGGGCTCTGAACCCAGAAGCCTGAGGAGCTCAGGGAATGAATGCTTCCTGTGTGAGCTGCGTCCTAGGAGGCTGGAAAGGAAATTCCTGGCAGAAGGACTAGAATGAGCAAAGGCGGAGAGGTGTGCAGTGGTCCGTGCGTTCAAGAAAGTAGTGCAGCTTCCTGCAGACTGTTGGACCCTTGGTGGGGGCGCAGTAAGAAAGAAGGCTGGGCCTAGATTTTGAAAAGAGTTCTGAGGAATTTACACTTTAATCTGTAAAGGAATTATGGGTTTGAGGAGTAAGAAGTGTTTCGTAAAAAAAGAAAAAGATGAAACAGTGGAACATGGACTGGAGTTGGAAAGAGAACAGGAAGCCATTTCTCCATGCCTTTGTTTAGGCTGCATTCTCCCTCCCTCACGGCCTTCTAACAAACTTCCACAGGGAAGTATTTTTCTTCCCTATAATCTCATTGCTCAAGACAGGGGAGGTCTTAATAAATAAATAAATGACTACAAAATAAATCAGTAACGAAAAGAAGGAGCCCATAGCTTATCCATCCTTCAAATCAAATCTACTTCAGAAGTCCCACCAGGTTATAACAATTCTCCCTCTCCCAGCACCCCTGGCCTCAGTGATGCCCTCTTCTTTGATCTGGTTTCATGGTTTACTCATTCCAGCCTACACAGTGAATGCCCTGCACTGTTATTTAACTACTTCATGTACTCATGTCTCATCTTGCTAACTATAGAAAGGAAACCCATCTGCTCTTACAGTCAGACTGGACTCTAGGCTCTCCACAGGGACAAGCTACCTGCCTCAGCTCTGGTCTCCCTCGGTAGTTCCAAAGACCTAAACTCAGCAACACTGCAGTTAAATTTAACAAGATGCTGAGCGTGAAGGTTCAAACATTAAAAATACTAGAATGCTCTTCTCTTCCCTTTTATCTAAATCTGCTTGAATTACAGCAAAATAATAATGAATACAAGGAATGGCATGTTTAGCGTGCAGTCTGGCCCTGCTTTATTATGCCACCCAGCCATCTGTGACCTTTCAATAGAGGCCTTTGGGTCGAGCTCTGAATCACTCTGCTGAATGACAATGGCGATGCAAAACCAGGACTGTGGCTTTACGAGCCTTGCTGCTCACTTATTTATCTGGTCATTTTTCTTTAACAGTAAACAAACGGTCAAGTTCTCCTTCTGCTTACAAGATCAACTTCCTAGACCATATTCTAGAAATACTGTGCAAATGTGCAGATGTGAAAAAAAAATGATGTTACTATGATTGTCTGCACACACACACCCAAACATATGTGAATTCGGACCTAAACATCAACAGAGTCACCTAAAACACCGTAAGAATTTTACATTTAGTGGAAAACCTGCTAATTGGCGTGTCTATCTCTTTTCAGGCTGTACCACAGTACAATGTCATGACAAGCACTGATTGTTTTTTGGTTGATAGAGAAAGGATTTCAATTTCATGTTTTGACTGAGGGGCAAAAATGAGGAATCCCATGCAGACTTGGGCAAAGCCAGGGCCCCACAGAGCTGCCCTGGTTCCTCCTTGGCCTTTCCTTTTTTAAAAGCATTACTACCACCCAAAGTATGTTCCTGATCTCTTTGCCTTCCCATCCAGACAATCCTGACTGCCCAAATCCTTGCCTGATTGCAATGTCCTCCCGCTTTCTCCCAGGTTGAGTTCTACCTGGAACTTGTTTCAGTGCCCGCACCGCTCACAAATCCCAGCCCCGCCTGCCTGGAGGGCAGACCACAGATGGAGCTGCAGGGGCAACACACTCCCACCCCTAAGTTATTTTTCAGGTACAACACAAAAATGAAAGCCGATCCTTAACGAGCTGGTCTCTGCCGGGGAAATCGAATTAAACAGCCATTCCTTCCAGGTTACACTCGGCCGTGTTTCCAGGTCGGGGTGGATGGTCCAACTCCGCTCTCCCCCGCAGGCGCCTCGGAATCAGGCCCCTGGGTTCGCACCCGCTTTCGTGGCCCTGTCTCCCCCCGAGACGGGGGCCCCGACCCACCGTGCTGGGGATCTGGAGCAGGGAGCCTCCGGTGTGAGCACAGCGGCGCCCCGTTAATGGCTGGTTGGTAAACAGACCAGAAGGGAGGCGATCGGATGCCAACACCTGAACCAGCATCCTCATATCGCGCATCCATTCACCGAAGCAACTCTCGCAGTTGCGCGAAACGCACGCAGAACAGATGCTCCGCGAAAGCCCCGCGTATCAGCCCGGCCC